CTTATATATTCTACTGATCTTTTCTCTATTTTGATGAAATCTCCTCTCTTCTTTTTTTTCTTTCTCTCTCTCTCTTTCCCTTTATTGTTATCTCTGCCCCCCCCCCCCTTATTTTAGATTGACTTCCGAAAATCACAGAAAACATTTGATCTTTGCCTTTGGGGACTGGCTTATTTCACTTAGCATGATAATCTCCAGTTCAATCCATTTACTGGAAAATGACAGAAGATCATTCTTCTTTATGGCTGAGTAATACTCCATTGTGCATATATAACACATGTTTTTTATCCATTCATCTGCTGGGCATCTAGGTTGGTTCCATTGTTTAGCTATTGTGAATTGTGCTGCTATAAACATTGATCTGGCTGCATGGTGGTTCAGTTCCTAGTTTTTTGAGCAATTTCCATACTACCTTCCAGAGTAGTTACGCTAATTTGCAGTCCCATCGATAATATATAACTGTAACTTTTTCCCCATATTCTCATCAACAGTTATTACTATTTTTATTCTTAATAATTGTCATTCTGACTCAAATGAGATGAAATTTTACTGTAGTTTTGATCCAGATTCCCTAATTGCTAGAGATGTTGAACATTTTTTTTATATATTTGTTGACTATTTGTAATTATTCTTTTGAGAAGTGTCTGTTTACTTCTTTTGCCCATTTATTGATTGGGTTATTTGTGTTTTTTAAAAATTTTTAAAATTCTTTGTATATTCTGGATATTAATGCTCTGAGGAGCACATGGCAAAGATCTCCCATTCTGCAGTCTCTTTCTTCATGCTCTTAATTATTACTTTTGCTGTGCAGAAGCTTTTTAATTTGATGCCATCCAATTTATTGATTTTTAAGTTTTTTTTTTTTTTGCACTTTAGGAGCCTAATTTAGGAGGGTGCTTCCTGTACCGACTTGCTGGAATGTTGGGCCTACATTTCCTTCATTTTTTTCTAGCAGCTGCAGAATTTCTTGTCTAATATGTATGTCTTTGATCCACTTTGAGTTGAGTTTTGTGTAGGGTGAGGGATAAAGGTTAAATTTTATTCTTCTACATATGGATTTACAGTTTTCCCAGCACCATTTGTTGAAAAGGCTATGTTTTCTCCAATGTATGTTTTTAACACCTTTGTCTAGTATCAGATAACTGTATTTATGTGGGGTTTTCTCTATGTCTTTTATGCCTGTTTTGGTGCCAGTACCATGCTGTTTTTATTATGATAGCTCTGTAGTATAATTTGAGGTCCTGTATTGTGATGCCTTCTGCTTCACTCTTCTCACTAAGGATTACTCTAGCTATTCTGGATCTCTTATTCTTCCAAATGAATTTCAGAACTGCTTTTTCTATTCTGTGAAGAATGTCATTGAATTTTGAAGGGTATTTTGTTGAACCTGTGTAGCACTTTTGGTAGTATGGCCATTTTGACAATATTAATTCTACCTATCTAAGAACATGGTAGGTTTTCCCATCTTCTAAGAGATTTTCTTCAAAGGTTTTCTTTAGTGTTATATAGTTTTCATTGTAGAGGTTCTTCACCTCTTTTGTTATATTGATTAACAACAGGTTTTTTTTTGAGACTACTATGAATAGGATAATCAATCTCTTTTCTAGCAGATTCATTATTGGAGTATAGGAATCCAATTGATTTATAAGAATTGATCTTATATCCTGCTACTTTGTTGAATTCATTTAGGAGTTTTAGAAATCTTCTGGTGGAGTTTTTTGGGTCTTCTAAGTATGAGATCATGTCATCAGCAGACAGAGATAATTCAAGCTCTTCTTTTCCTACTTGTTTTACTTTAATTTTCTTCTCTTGCCTGATTGCTCTGGCTAGAGTTTCAAGGATTATATTGACTAGGTGGGTGAAAGTGGGCATCCTTGCCTTGTTCCTGTTTTTAGAGGAAATATTTTCAGTTTTTCTTCATTCAGTATGATGTTGGCTCTGGATTTTTCATTGTTAGCCTTTACAATGTTGAGGTAAGTTCTTTGTAGGCCTAGTTTCTCTAGTGTTTTAAACATGAATGGGTGCTGTACTATGTCAAATATTTTTTCTGCATCTATTGAGATAATTCTGTGATTCTTGACCTTAACTCTATGTGGTGAATTACATGTACTGATTTCCATATGTTGAATCAACCTTGCATCTCTGGCTTGAAACTGACTTGGTCATAGTGCACTATATTTTAAATGTGTTTTTGTATGCATTTTGCCAATATTTTATTAAGAATTTTTGCATCAATGTCATCAAAGATATTGGCCTAAAGTTTTCTTTTCTCAATATGTCTTTTTCTGGTTTTGGAATCAGGGAGATACTGTCTTCATAGAATGTGTTTGGCAGTGTTTTCTCCTTTTCTATTTCATGAAATAATTTGAGGAGGATTGCTATTGGTTTTTCTTTAAAGGTCTGGTAGAACTCAGCTGAGAATCTGTTCAGTCCTAGGCTTTTCTTTATTGGAAGGCTTTGATAGCTGCTTCAGTTTCATTACTTGATATTAACCTGTTTAATTTTTCTTTATTCTCATGGTTCAGTTTGAGGAATTCTAGGAATTGTCAACACCCTCAAGATTTTCTAATTTACTGTAATATAAGTTTTCAAAATAGTTTCTGATGATCCTGATGATCCTCTGATTTTTAGTAGTGTCTGTGGAGAGAGTTCCTTTTTCATCTCAAATTTTGATAATTTGAGAGTTTTCTCTCTTTCTTTTGGTTAGTTTGGCTAAGGGTTTATCAACCTTGTTTATCCTTTCAAAAAAAACCCAGCTCTTTATTTCATTGATCCTTCATATTTTTTCTCTATTTTATTAATTTTGGCTCTGATTTTAGTTATTCATGACTTCTACTGATTTTGGTGTTGGTGTTTTCTTCTTTTTCTAGGGCCTTTGAAGTCAACACTATTTTCAAGATTATATACTTTGTCTTTGTGGCCTAAAACTTCCAAGTGGTCTGATCTATAGGTGATGCTTTCCACTGAATTTTTAATTTGTTTTACAGAGTCTTTCATTTCCAGGACTTCTATTTTGTTTTTTTCAGAACCTGTATATCTTTATTGTAGTGATCTTTCTCTTCTTGTATTTTCTTTCTAATTTTACTCCTTACATCTTCTTTTAGTTTGACTATGAACTTTCTAAATTCTTCCTTTGACATTTCCTCCACTGTGATGTCAATGGAGTCAGTTGTGGCAGCATGGGCTGTTTGGTGTGGTTTGTTCCCTTGCTTTTTCATATTGTTTATGTGTCTACCCATTTATTGGAATAGTTCTCACTTCTTCTTTTAAGCAAGGAACTATTTTCTGAGCTCCTTTCTCTTAAAAGCCCTGGGTTGGGTGAATATCCAGATATTGATACTTAAGTCAATGTTTGACCTCTGCTGATCCCAAATGTCACCACCACTTTGAGAGATACCACTCTATTTACTATAATAACTTCAGAACGAAGCCTGGTAATATTCAATCTTATAAGAAACAAAAAGTTTGTTGATATTGCTCCTCACAGTTACTCAAATACAAGCATGATCTTTATTACAAGTTCTGGAATAGGTTAAAAAATTATTATTAAATTTAGCACAATTGTTTTAACCTTAAATGAGAGCTAAAAGGGGTGGAGAAAAAGAAAGACTGAGCAAAAAGGAGAAGGGAAATGGGAAAAAGAAAGATCAAAAAAGAAAAGAATAATTTCCACCAACATAGAAAGGAGTATAGATGGATGGTAGGTATTTGAAGTTAGTAGCAGATAATGCAAGAGGATGAATAAGGCATATGAAAAGCAAGTATAAACTTGAGCTAGGAAAAAAAAAGAAAGACTGATTCCAATTAATGTTTTAAACCTTTAGATGAAATACATTCAAATGGATTGCAGGTACAATATTGGCTATTAGGATAACAATTATTCATAATTGTAAACCATGCAAAAGTGAAGAAAATTCTTATTGAATCTTGGTTTAGATTTCACTGGGGTTTGGATATTTAGCCAATGTTCATTATTCTTTGTCTGTGGATCCCTCCAGAATTGCTGGGGCACAGGAACCAGTTCCCTAGTTGTTATGGATTTCCCACCAGCCAATTCTGGTTTATCAGCTCAGGGCCTGCAGCTGATTGCTTGTAAGTTGCTATGTTGTGGTTGGCTGTTTCTATTGAGTACAGGAATTCAGGCTCTTAAGTGTTCTTGTGATTGCCATGGCCATGTACCTGCTCCCCTCTGCAGGATCCTTTTCATTCTGGTGTAGAGCCCATTGGCTGTCTATGAACACGGGATCTCTGGTTGTGAATTTTCCATATTCTCTTGGCCAATGCCACTTTCTGGAGTACTGTAGTAAAGGGACTCATGTGGTTAACCTGGGTTCTAATTTCTACTGCCCCAAGTTGTGAACAGCAGGCATTAATTCCCTCTGTTGACTGTGAATGATGCAAAGTCCAGACAGTGTCCGAACAGTGCTCTTTCACTCACCAGTTGTGACCATGAGGTCAGGTTGGGAGCTGTATAAGGCTGGGAGCAGTTACTGTCTGTTGCTTCAGATCAGACAATTTTCCACCTTAACTGATCTCCCTCTGGCTATGTTTATGGATGCCTTCTTTTTAGGTTTCCTGGGGTGTTCAGGGAACTCACCTAGCAGCCTTCTGCCTGCAGTGTTCACCATCCCAGAACTGGATCTCTATGTTTCTGAATATTCAGCAGCTTCTCTCCAGTATGGCCCCATGATCAAGGGCAGAGTCCCTAGGCTTCCCACAATGCCAACCCCCAATGTCAGCGGTCAAAGTGATGCAGTCCTGATTGATCCACTTTCCTCTGCTCAAAGTCATTGGTGCTCTGTCACTGTCTGGGTTAAGTGAAAGCTGTTTGTGTACATCTTCTTTGGAAAAGGACCCAGCCAAATCCTTTGTCAATTTTTCAACTTTTTTTTTTTTTTGGTCTTTTGTTGTTGAGTTATAGGAGTTCTTTATATAGTTTTATATTAATGAGATATATGACTTTAAGAGGATTACTTTTTTCTCCCCATTTATTAATCTAGAACATTCAAGGACAACTTTTTTCCTGTTGGAAAGATAACAAACGATTGCGATGAACTGGTTAATTCAAACTCTGATAGTTTTTCTGTTCAAAACTCAGAAGTAAAAACACACACTGATATTAATGAGGTAAGATCCTGTTTGAAAAATATAAACATTTTTGAATTATAAGTTTTGGAAGTAAAAATGTGATTTATGATTATTGTTTACACTTCCTTATTCAACACACCAAACATATACATATGCCCCTCATACCATTAAAAAGTATTTTAATGTGTAAGTTTAGTTACAACTTACCACTTAAAATTTATTACCCTAGATTAAACATCCTATTAGTTATATATTGTCACCAGCATGGTAACATATCTGTTAAATTAGGTTTTGAATGGCATTAAAGTGGAGACGAATCTGAGAAAAATATATGCCCCAATATTTGAAGTAAATCTACACTTGAGAACTCCTTCTGAGAGTTATTCTCCAGAAAATTCTCAAGAGAACTTTCCTGAGTCTGACCAGGGCCCTGAAAAATGTATGACATGTGAAGAAGATGAAATGTCAGAAAATGAATATAATGTCAAAAATGACTTAAGTGAAGAACTGCTCCCAAAAGCCAAGGAACCACAAATATTTTCTTATAACTTTGAAGACATTTCAGGTAAGACAAATGAGACATTAACAATGAGGGTAAATATATTAATAGCTGGAAAATAATATGTAAGAGAAATTTATTTATGAATTATCAGTTTATAGATTATTATTTTTATAAATTTTAAGATAAACAAATAAACAGTGCCAAAAATGAGCAGTGAATGTATAGATCATTTGTAGTGCAAGTAAGTAATAATACCATATTCATTTTCATCTCATTACATGAGCAATTTTGGGCATGGTGGCAAATGCCTATAACCTCACTGACTCAAAAGGCTGAAGCAAGAGGATCACAAGTTCAAGACTAGCCTAGGCAACTTTGTGAGAACATGTCTCAAAAGTATAAAGGGCTGAGGATATAATTCAGTAGTAGAATCCTCCTCACCCCAGAATTTAATCTCCAATACCACAAGAAGAAGAGAAAAAAAAAGCCAAGTAGTTTCTCATTGAAGGGATTAAAGGACTCTCTTCATCAGGATAGATACTACCTGGAAGGAGAAGTAACTCAGTGGTTGAGCATTTGCCTAGCATGCATGAAGACCTGGGTTCCATCCCCAAAACAGCTAAAAAAAAATGAGTTTTTAAAGTTTCAAACTTTTGGACTCCAGAATCTGGGCTGGAGTGTGCTACTTGAATATTGCCTTTCAGATGACCACTAGAGTTCTTTCTTAGGCTATTTGAAAAGCACTGACACATATCAAGTTGTCATTTAACTGTTATAAATATCAATCAATTTTTAAAAATTCTCTCATTCTTTCAATTGAAATCACACAGAAACTACGATTGATTTGGAGAATAAAAACTTGAATGATATGTAAGTATCAGACATTTTTTGACATTATGAGTAATTGTATTTTGTTAATTACTATATTCTCCTGAAATATTTTTTTATTTTTTCTTAGAGTTCCAGAATTCCCTACAAATCTCCTTATAGATCCCAATAGATTAGAGTTTTCAATAAAAATCCAAAATATGGTGACTACTATGGAAAACTATATAAGTAAGTATTTAACAGTTTAGTCTTCTTTGGCAATATTGGCTTGAATTTAAGCATCTGATGCTCTTTCCCAGAGACATAGCAGATAGAGTATGAGAAGATCATAAATTCACAATGTTGGGGATCAATATGAATTTAGAATTATTTGAGCATGTGTGAATCATCCATACAGCCACAGAGTGCATAAAAGATAAGGATTGGGAAAATAACCCAAGGCTTAAATTTTTTAGTTATGCATTATAAAATTTTATGACACATAACAAATAGGAAGTATTTTTTATGTTATAATATAAGATACTTTTTAATAATTCTTTTCTAGCTGTGTGTACACAATTTGAAATTACATGGTAACTACTTAATTCCTAGCCTGACAAAGAATTTAAAAGGATTTTAAAACAGCTCCTTAAGTGTAATGTTTGTTTTCCCATCATGTGACCACAGTTTGCTGAGTTCAGATGAAGAAAAAAAAAAGGCCCTCTTTAAAGGGGAAGCTGGTATCTCCTGCATTATTTGATTTCTTTTTTTTTTTTTTTTTTTGCAAGACCCAGGAATCAGTCTTTTTCATTGTGCTTTGTAACTACCACTACCTATTAAATTTCTTCTTTCTCAAAAACTGGATGAAATGCAATCATTATGTCCCTTGAAATCTCATACTTAAAGTTTGCATTGTATTAAGATAAAATATACAAATCAAGAAATAACACAGTTTTAATAATTCTTGCAGTCTATTATGAATCAGCTTGATAGGAGTTTCTTGCTGAATAAAATCCAGAGATGTCACCTTCATGCTATATTGTACACTTACAGATATTATAGACAGTTGTAGTTGCTTGTTAAGATGTGTCCCTGCCCTAGTATTCTCCTCAGTATTCTGTAGATTGTTCTGCTGTCTTCTAGCTTTCAGTATTATGTTACTGTGATTTACCTTCCTCTGGGAAAACTTGATTTTTTAGCCCAGTATTTTATTAGTTGAAGTTAGCAACTTTTTTATAATAAAGCTAGAGGTTAATCTTTCTCCCAATTAGTGAGGCTTTTCAGTCCAAAGAATTAAGTTTTTCCTCAAACTTCTCACATGTTCCTTCTTTTTCTTTCTTTCTTTTTTAATTTGGTAAAATCTTTATTTATATGCATTTCTTTTACTACCCATATGTCTTAGAGATAAGAACTGGCATATGAAAAGGACTATTAAATTTCAAGACAGTTATTTTCAAGTTTTGTAAAATCACAGATATAGTTTGTGAAGGACAATACACCCTCCAAAAGCATGTCCCCTTGTATCATATGTGCAGTTTCTCCGTATAGCAAAATGAAATCAACTTAACATTCTCTGTGGCTGCAAGAGTCTTTAAACCAACTAAATTAACTTTCCCTTCTGCTGACTGTAACTCCTAGTCAATTATCCATCTATTGAATGGCATCTAAGTTGGTTCCACAGTTTAGCTATTGTGAACTGTGCTGCTATAAACATTGATGTGGCTATATCACTGTATATGTTGTTTCTAAGTCCTTTGGGTTTAAACTAAGGAGTAGAATAGCTGGGTCAAGTGGAGGTTCCATTCTGAGTTTTCCAAGGAATCTCCATACTGCTTTCCAAATTGGTTGCCCCAACTTGAAGTCCTACCAGCAATGTATGTGTGTGGGAAATGTATGGGGGAAAAGCCATATCCTCGCCAACACTTATCATTGTTGTATTCTTAATAGATGCCATTCTGACTGGAGTGAGATGAAATCTTAAGAGAAGTTTTGATTTGCATTTCTCTAATTGCTAGAGATGTTGAACATTTTTTCACATATTTGTATATCATCATGTCCATTCATTTCCTTGGCCCATTTATTGATTGAGTTATTTGGTTTTTTGGTATTAAGTTTTTTGAGTATACTATATTAATACTCTTTCTCCCCCCACCACATCTAATAAAAGTTCATACTGATATATCTGACACCAATCCAACATCTTATTCTAGCTTACTCCCTTTCCCTATATGTAACTTTTCCCCTCTGGCTATAGAAAATCTGGCTCAAATAAGCAACATTAGCCAGGCATGGTGGTGCATGCCTATAATCCCAGTGACTCGGGAGGCTAAAGTGAGAAGATCACGAGTTCAAACCCAGGTTCAGCAATTTAGTGAGGCCCTAAGCATCTCAGGAGACCCTGTCTAAATAAAACACAAAAAAATGGCTGGGGCTGGGGCTCGGTGGTCAAGCACCCCTGGCTTCAATCCATGGTACCAAAAAAACAACAACAACAAAAAAAAACCATCAACATATTAGTTTTGTTACACCTGTAAAGTGATTTCAGACTTAGTATTCTAATGTCTCTGAGAAAAGTACAGTGTTTACAAACAGTTCATCTTCTTCTCTTTTTATCTAACCTTACAGTTTCCAGTTTAGAAAGTATTTTCCAGAGTTACTGAGGTCAAATCCTTTCTTTCCCACCCTCCAGTGAAATTATGTAGTTCAACTGTAATATAGTTAGATTAATTTGTCACAGTCTGTGTTACATCTCAAACTCTCTCAACATCCTGATTTTTAAAAAATTTGCATACTCTTTTTGGGTATAATTTTATGGGGTTTGACAAATTACAGTTGCATATTCACCATCACGGTTCTAAACAAAACAATTCTGTTATTTTCAAATTCTCTTACATAGCCACTTTACAGTCAAACCTTCCCTCATCCCTTAATTCTGGCAAACACTGATCCGTTTTCTGTTCTTATTGTTTATTCCAGAATGTTCTATAAATGGATATGTAGCCTTTTGGGTCTGGCTTCTTTCATTGAGAAAAATGCATCTATAATTCACATTGTTTATATAAATTCATAGTCTCTTTTTATTGCTAAATTATATTCTATTGTCTGGATTTACCAGATTGTTGATCCATTCACATCTAGGTTATTTCCAATTTGGGGTAGTCATGAATAAACCATAAACATTCACATATAGATCTTTTGATGAACATAGTTTTTTCTTGAGTAAATAGGAGTGGAATTTCTGGGTCAAAAGTGTGTGCTTAATTTTTCTTTTGAGAATAAGTAGTACCATTATTTTAAATTTCTGCTAACAATGTATGAGTTTCTTTTTATCCCTGTCAGCATTTGATGTTGTCAGATATTTTTAATTTTAGCCATTCTTATATGTGTATAGTGATATAGCAGTAATTTTCACTTCACTTGTTTATTATTATTCATCTTTTCTTATCCTCCACCTGTATATTTTCTTTCATCAAATTCTCCTTAGTTTTTTGCCTAATTTTTTAAATTGGGGTAACAGTCTACTTATTATTGGATTATGAGAGGTCTTTGCATGTAATCTGGGCCAAGTGCTTTATCATATCTATGATTTGAAAACATTCTCTCCCAGTCAGTACCTTATCATCTCATTCTCTTTCATAGAGCTAAACTATTTAATTTTGATAATGTATATCTAGCTCATCATTTTTTTATTGTATGGATTATGTTTTTGTTCTTGTATCTAAAAACTCTTAGTTAGGCAAAACTCAATGTCACACTAATTTTCTCAAAGGTTTATAGGTTTGTGATTTATATTTGGGTGTAGGATCCATCTTGAGTTGATATTTTGTGTAAAGTGTAAAATGCAGGTCAAGCTTTTTAGTTTTTGTTTTTGTTTTGCCTATGGAAATCTAGAAGCTCAGCTAGATTATGAACTCCTTGATGGCAGAGTTTGTGTCTTCTAATCTTTGTGTACCCTTAATCGTATAATATTTTCCACAGAGCAGATATATTTCAAATGCTTGTTAACTGAACAACTTAGTTTCTATTTTAATAGAAACTATTTATGCCCTCCTGTATCATCACAACTATCTATGAATGATTCTTCTGTTTCTATTATATTAAATCTAAACTTTTACATCTATCCTTAAATTCCATCAATTAGTATACTGTCTAACTCTCATGATAAATCAATCTCAGTTTTTAGCAGTTCTAGATATCATTAATAATATTAATAATAAAAGTCCTGCTTTTAATTGGACTTCTGAAAATATTAAATTTCAAATTATATATTTTAGCCAAAATTACTCCTCTTTACCAAGATCCCCGCCTGTCTATCTTTATTGATTGGATTTCAATTATGGATTTATCCAAAAAAACTAGATGGCCAGATTGTCAGCTACTTTTTGAAATGGATACTGCCTATCAAAATAAAGTAAGTTGGGGACTGAATTGGAGCAAATTTTATTCCATGTTTGTATTATGTCAAAATGAACCCTGATATTATATGTAAATATAATGAATTTTAACAAAAAGAACTAGTCATCTCAGGGAATGTTTGGTTTGGGGAGTAGAAACCCCTGAAATTCTCAGATGTAAGGGATTTATTGAAAATTAAGAGTTTCACAGTTTATGGCAATTGGAAAATTATTCCCATATTATCTTCTCATTTATCTTTCCCTTAATCTCTCATTCATGCTCACCACAGTGTATTCTATTCACCATGGGATTTCTCTTTTATGGCTCCTGCATAAGATCATCTTGCCAAATATTGACACATTATCCAACTCTTTGTTACTATCTAAGTGGATATTTTTCCCCAGATTCATAGATAATCTAATTGGCTCAACTTGGGTCACAATATCCAAATTAACTATGTCTTGGAAGTTGGATGAGTTCACATAGTATATAAGACTTGGCTTTTCTGGGACTTTGTATAGAGCATATACTCTAAAACAGGGCAATAAGAAAATAAATGATTGATCTTTCTAGTATGTGGCTCAAAGTAGCATATTAATTATAAAGTTAAATAGCCAAATAAACCTTTCCATAAAAGTCAAGAATTAGTCATCTGAATTTCTTATATTTCTTTTATTTCCAATATATTTTGATATTTAATAGAGGTTCTGAACAAAATTAATTCACATAAGGTTATTATTTTATTTTAATAAGAACTATTAGTTTATCAGGCCATACTTTTTTCACTCTTACAATAAGAATTCTGGCTTTTTAATATTTTTATTTATAGATTGTGAGTCTCCTGACTGTTATTGGTGATTCAATGGGCCTAGTTAGTGTTTACAGCTACAAGTTTCTAAAATATTGTACCATGGTTGAGAAAGCCAAAGTCATGAGTATGAAAATATCATCTTTGAAAGAATTATCTTCAGCACAGTTTAAAACTATTCTACATACATTTCGAAACTACTTTCGATGTGTTTTGACTATGACCATTGAGAAGCGAATTGGTATTTTCAATGTTTTAAGTTTTGATTATCAATCAGAATGCTTACCATACATTGAAAACATCCTACAGATAACCCACGGCCTCTTGAGATCTGTAATTGAGAAAAAAAGTACAAAGCTATGGAAAGTAAGTATTATGAAAATTCCTCTGGTATAAGAATATTTCAATTTGATAGATTATAATTTTAGTATATACAATCAGAAAATAAACATCTTAAGTATTATCCTCAGAAAATTCGGATGTGATAGTATTATATTTGTTTAAATGTTTGATTAAATATCACTCCCTGAAACACTTTGATCACCACATCTAAAATTGCATTACATATCATTTTCTACCTCCTTTCCCCCTGTTTTATTTTATAGAATACTTTACCACCTGCCATTAAGTTGTGTATTTTCCTCCACTAGAATGTAAATCTCATCAAATTATGAAGTATCTTGGAATAAAATGCACATATTCCACATTTCACTGTGTATTAGGACTGTTTTGTTTTTGTTTTTGTTTTTTCGGGGGGAATACTCATGGGATGGCAGAACTCCTCAGAAACCATGGTGGTTTGAAGCCTCTGGAGCTTAGAAAATATGAAAACTTAGGAGAACCCAAAATAAACTTCTCCATCATTAGTTATTCCTACCTATCACCCATGTAAATTTCTAGGACAAGTCTGTTATACTAGCCATTGTTTACACAAGCACTCTCAGTTGTGCCTCAGACCTGCTTAAAGATATGAATTTATGATAATAGCTACTATTTATTTATTCAATCAGACCACAAATATTTATTAAACCATTACTATATACTCCTGAGAGGGATAGATTCATTCTTGCACTCATAGAGTCTAATCAAGCAGTAAATACTGACAGAAGTATCTAACATAGCCTAGGTGGAGTTGTGGGTAACTTTCTTGAAAAAAATCTTAACATCCAAAGAAGTACGAGTGATCTGAAGGTATTGGGAGGAAAGGGAAGAATATTGCAGGGATACGTTCATTTAATTTAGATTCAGTTATATATGACAGAAAACAAAACAAAACAAAAGATGACAGTGGCTTACACAAGTTAGAAACCAATTTCTCTCTTAGGAAAAAATAATACAGAGAAAGATATCCCAGGGATAGCACAATGGCTTCGTGAAGTCATTAGGAACATTGGCTGTTTCTAGCTCACCTCTCTGCCTTTCCTTGAGCGTGATACAACATGCATAGCCCTAAGATGGCAGTTGTCTGTCTGATCCTCATATTCTCATTCCAGGGAACAGGATGGAAGAAGGCAGCAGAGAATCAGAATCTCCCTGTTCTACTCTTAAGGATGTTTCCCAGAATCACCTCACACTGTGGCTTACAACATATTTACCAAAAATTAGTTTGTTTGTTTGTTGTTGTTTTTTTGATACATAAGGGTTAAGTACTATCATTTTGTAATTGTTTTCAGGATGTTCTGTGGATCATTTGCTCTATTACTGTCTTCCTTTGGGGTTAAGTGATTTTCTCTACTGCTATACTTTAGTTTCTCTGTGTGTGTGGTGGGGGGTGTCCCCACCCCTTTTTGATGAATTCCCTTTAGCAGTTCTTGTAAGACAGGTCTGGTGGTGATTAATTCTCTTTTTTTTCTTTTCCTATACTTATTCCTTTAATTTCTTTTCTCTATCTAATTTCTCTGTGTCTCAAGAACTCTGTTGAATAGAAGTGGTGAGAAAGGGCATACCTGTCTTGTTTCAGATTTGTTATTCTTGTTCTTTAAAAATGTATTTCTCTATATACATTTTCCTCTAAGAAATGTCCACTTCATGTTGAGTTAGAGGATATTTATACAAGTTTCTACTGTTAAGTGGAGAAATATGTAGTCTCTATTTTGAGTGTTATTTAACAGTCCAATCCCATGGATTGTTCTTCATGACTGTTTCCAAACTTCTTTTAAATAGCTCTCAATTGCTGTAGTTTTTCCTGAATTTTCTTCTCTCAAATTTATTTATTTATTTATTTATTTTATTGGTTGTTCAAAACATTACAAAGCTCTTGACATATCATATTTCATACATTTGATTCAGGTGGGTTTTGAACTCCCAATTTTACCCCAAATACAGATTGCAGAATCACGTCGCTTACACAACTACATTTTTACATAATGCCCTATTAGTAACTGTTGTATTCTGCTACCTTTCCTATCCTCTACTATCTCCCCTCCCCTCCCCTCCCATCTTCTCTCTCTACCCCATCTACTGTAATTCATTTCTCTCCTTGTTTATTTTCCCATTCCCCTCACAACCTCTTATATGTAATTTTGTATAACAATGAGGATCTCCCTCCATTACCATGCAATTTCCCTTTTCTCTCCCTTTCCCTCCCACCTCATGTATCTGTTTAATGTTAATCTTTTCTTCCTGCTCTTCCTCCCTGCTTTGTTCTTAGTTGCTCTCATTATATCAAAGAAGACATTTGGTATTTGTTTTTTAGGGATTGGCTAGCTTCACTAAGCATAATCTGCTCTAGTGCCATCCATTTCCCTGCAAATTCCATGATTTTGTCATTTTTTAGTGCTGCGTAATACTCCATGGTGTATAAATGCCACATTTTTTTTATCCATTCATCTATTGAAGGGCATCTGGGTTGGTTCCACAGTCAAGCGATTGTGAATTGTGCTGCTATGAACATCGATGTAGCAGTATCCCTGTAGTACGCTCTTTTAAGGTCTTCAGGGAATAGTCCGAGAAGGGCAATAGCTGGGTCAAATGGTGGTTCCATTCCCAGCTTTCCCAGGAATCTCCATACTGCTTTCCAAATTGGCCGCACCAGTTTGCAGTCCCACCAGCAATGTACAAGAGTACCCTTTTCCCCACATCCTCTCCAGAACTTGTTGTTTGACTTCATAATGGCTGCCAATCTTACTGGAGCGAGATGGTATCTTAGGGTGGTTTTGATTTGCATTTCTCTGACTGCTAGTGATAGTGGGCATTTTTTCATGTACTTGTTGATTGATTGTATGTCCTCCTCTGAGAAGTGTCTGTTCAGGTCCTTGGCCCATTTGTTGATTGGGTTATTTGTTTTCTTATTGTTTAATTTTTTGAGTTCTTTGTATACTCTGGATATTAGGGCTCTATCTGAAGTGTGAGGAATAAAAATTTGTTCCCATGATGTAGGCTCCCTATTTACCTCTCTTATTGTTTCTCTTGCTGAGAAAAAACTTTTCAGTTTAAGTAAGTCCCATTTGTTGATTCTTGTTATTAACTTTTGTGCTATGGGTGTCCTATTAAGGAATTTGGAGCCCAACCCCACAATATGTAGATCGGAGCCAACTTTTTCTTCTATTAGACGTAGAGTCTCTGATTTGATATCTAGCTCCTTGATCCACTTTGAGTTAACTTTTGTGCATGGCGAGAGAAGGGGATTCAGTTTCATTTTGTTGCATATGGATTTCCAGTTTTCCCAACACCATTTGTTGAAGATGCTATCCTTCCTCCATTGCATGCTTTTAGCTCCTTTATCAAATATAAGGAAGTTTTAGTTTTGTGGATTGGTCTCTGTGTCCTCTATTCTGTACCATTGGTCCACCCGTCTGTTTTGGTACCAGTACCATGCTGTTTTTGTTACTATTGCTCTGTAATATAGTTTTAAATCCAGTATCGCTATACCGCCTGATTCACACTTCCTGCTTAGAATTGCTTTTGCTATTCTGGGTCTTTTATTTTTCCATATGAATTTCATGATTGCTTTATCTATTTCTACAAGAAATGCCATTGGGATTTTGATTGGCATTGCATTAAACCTATAGAGAACTTTTGGTAATATCGCCATTTTGATGATGTTAGTTCTGCCTATCCATGAACAGGGTATATATTTCCATCTTCTAAGATCTTCTTCTACTTCTCTTTTTAGGGTTTTGTAGTTTTCACTGTATAAGTCCTTCACCTCTTTTGTTAGGTTGATTCCCAAGTATTTTTTTTTTTTTGAGGATATTGTGAATGGAGTGTTTTTCCTCATTTCCGTTTCAGAAGTTTTGTCGCTGATATACAGAAATGCCTTTGATTTATGCGTGTTGATTTTATATCCTGCCACTTTGCTGAATTCATTTATTAGTTCTAGTAGTTTTTTTGTAGACCCTTTTGGGTCTTCTAGGTATAGAATCATGTCACCTGCAAATACTGATAATTTAAGTTCTTCCTTTCCTATTGTTATGCCTTTAATTTCTTTCGTCTGTCTAATTGCTCTGGCCAGTGTTTTGAGAACTATATTGAATAGAAGTGGTGATAGAGGGCATCCCTGTCTTGTTCCAGATTTTAGGGGGAATGCCTTCAATTTTTCTCCATTGAGAATGATGCTAGCCTGAGGCTTAGCATAGATAGCTTTTACTATGTCAAGGTAAGTTCCTGTTATTCCTAGTTTTTCTAATGTTTTGAACATAAAGGGATGCTGTACTTTGTCGAATGCTTTTTCTGCATCTATTGAAATGATCATATGGTTCTTATCTTTAAGTCTATTGCTGTGGTGAATAACATTTATTGATTTCCGTATATTGAACCATCCTTGCATCCCAGGGATGAATCCTATTTGATCATGGTGCACAATTTTTTTGATGTGCCTTTGTATCCGATTCGCCAGAATTTTATTGAGGATTTTTGCATCTAGGTTCATCAGAGATATTGGTCTGTAGTTTTCTTTCTTTGAGGTGTCTTTGTCTGGTTTCGGAATCAGGGTGATGTTGGCCTCATAGAATGAATTTGGCAGAGCTCCCTCTTTTTCTATTTCCTGAAATAGCTTGAAAAGTATTGGTATTAATTCTTCCTTAAAGGTTTTGTAAAACTCTGCTGTATACCCATCCGGTCCTGGGCTTTTCTTGATTGGAAGTCTTTTGATTGCTTCTTCTATTTCATCTATTGATATTGGTCTGTTTAAGTTGTGAGTATCCTCCTGACTCAGTCTGGGCAAATCATATGACTTAAGGAATTTATCGATGTCTTCACTATCTTCTATTTTATTGGAATATAGGTTTTCAAAATAATTTCTAATTGTCTTCTGTATTTCTGTAGCGTCTGTTGTGATATTGCCTTTTTCATCCCGTATGTTAGTAATTTGAGTTCTCTCTCTTCTTCTCTTCGTTAGCATGGCTAAGGGTCTGTCGATCTTATTT